CTCCTCAGTCACATTTGCCACATTACTCACTGAGAGGCTTTTTGACTCGAAGCTGCACAACCGCAGAGCATGGCTGCATAATTCACAGCCTTGTGTATTTTTAAACTCATCCTTACATTCATAATGCAGAGAAATTTGAATCATGTGACAGTGACACGCTGTTAATCTTTTAGCCTCCGTATCGTGTCTGTGTAGGCTTTGAATCACTGCTAGTTAACGAATACATGGGACACACACACACACACACACACACACACGAAAAGAGCACTGGCTTACATTCATGGAGACTTACTCCAACCCTAACCATGACTACTACTTTCCTAATACCCAGATTGGTCTACAGTAATATGTCCCATAATACAATACAAAGTCAGATTTGTAAACCTCTGTTCGTTTCCTTCTAAATCTCCACAGGCACAGATGGCCTTGCTCCCTCTCTTGTCTTTCTAACCAAAAGGACTTACTCGATTTGACATCACCTGCTACCAGCTGGCACGTATCCTTTCACCAGCTTTGAATCTGGTCCACCACCCCCCAAACAGGCCAGTGCAGAGGAAATGTGATTTTCATCATCCCGCGCAATTAGCGAGATTTAAAGACGTTTTGTGTCACTGATTGAAAACACCTTCCATTGTTGCTGTAAACAGCGCACAGCGGAGTGAAATCAGGTCGGACATGAATCACCGGCTGGATCTGAACCAGGTTTGAACCCGCGGTCTCACAAGCATATGGTAATCAGGCAGTAATGAACTGTTTTCTGCGGTGTGCGCTGCGAGGTATTCATCCTAACATATTGTAACCGGTCTGTTCGTACCGTGGTGGCATTTGTACTTCACGACACACGTGCACACGCACGTCCCACTCTGCCCCGCTCTCTGGACAGTGAATTATAATTGTAACAAATCGAGCTGAATCGCGCAGGAAAGGGCAGGGTGGCTGTGTCAGCTTGCATCACTCTTTGGAAATGTCACCATTCGTGAGTAAATTTGTCTCAGAGTCACCGCAGAACTTCTTGTAAGTCTCGTAGCCTCACAGTAATATTTTAAACTCACGTGATTTATTTAAACACTCGCGGCGTGTCTAAGGGAAAATCATAAGCAGTGTGAATACAGTTTTGATTTAGAGACGTTAATATAGTAACCGTTTCCCGACACAATGTCCCCTGGAGCAAGGATGAGGGATTTATGGCCATCACTGGAGTTGAATGACATTCACATATTTAAAGAAGCTGAAAATAACACTTGAAACCAAAACAAAAAGTGAATGTCATATTTATCATTTTAAATGCAGCTGTGAGAACAACTGTGTATTTATTGCTATGATTATTTATTTAATTATTGTTAGAGAAACCAGTGTGATCTAATGCCAGGCAAAACAACTATAGCTGAGGGAAGCTCATGGTTAGGAGACAGGATGTAAATCTCAGCCTGTAATGTAAGCACCTTCTTTTACCACCCATTATTTCACAATGCCTTTAGTTTTCCCTTAGAGTGTGTGAATGCCACACTGCATCCTGCATTGTCGCTGAATATTACCGGTGAAAGTGAGTTGCTGATGCAAATTAGCTGCATAATAACACATTGTCATGTGAGGGATTCAAGCCGCCATTAAAAGGGAATTCGAGAGCATTCATTCAGAGACACCTATTTCCGAACTGTGCACATTCAGAAATGTCAGAACAGGTGAAGCTGGCGGTGGTTTGCATCTTACTCATTCCCCGCAGTTTCCTTTTAATGCATTATATCAGTCACATAAGTGCCTTTTATAGAAGGAATTTGTGCCATATAAATGAACTTGGCAAGCCTCTCCTTACTTTAGAGACTCGGTCTTTAATCATGAATTAAGCTCGAAGCGTTCTTTGGTTAAATCAAGGCTCCTGCGTGTTTGTTAAAGAGGACTGAAGTATTGGGCAATGTGATGTTGATCCCTGCAATCAAACCCACTGCTGTTAGAAAATAATCAGCTACACGGACACAGTTCAAGTGGAAAATCAATGTGAAATTCCTTGCTGATTTCTTGAACTTATTAACCACGACTCTGTGTGCCAGCCGATGAGTGCTCACCGTGATAAAGACTCAAATCACTGCAAGAATGAAATATTACTTTTTGTTTTGTGTGCTTCTCCAGTACAGCAGTATTTTGAAAATCGTGATGCATGCTTTCCTGTGTGCTTTCTGCTGCAGTTTGCTTAGCTCTGTGCTACAGTACGGCTCAATAAAGAGCTGACATACTGATACTGTATTGGCAACCAGTCTTTTTCTTGTTGCCCCATCTTAATACCATAGAAATTGTGTTAGGATTATGCATAAAGCGCTTTTTAGACACAGATTTGCATGTTTGGATTAGTAAAGCCTTGTAATGGAGGCTTGCAGAAAGCTACCATCTTGTTCTGACACATATTGAAACAGTGCGAGGCTGCTTTTCCTTTTAACTACCAGACGTATTCATCTGTCCGTCTGCCAACTCAGATAATTTCTGAGGAGAATTTTGTTCACTTGCTTATAAACACAGGAAGGCGAGGGAAGAGTCTCCCATTTTTAATTATCAACCTCGGTAACCAATCTCCTTGCCTCTACAATATCTTTTGAACAACCACTACATCAAATGGGCTCATTTGCATTTGAGGCGTTGAGAAAATTGAGCGAGCGATGCATGATATTCTGTATGTATGCACCCTTTAGTGACACCCAACCAGATTTCAATACACTGCAAACACAAAATTTACACAAATATATGGAAGAAAATACAAATCGCGTTGATTATCTCGTGTGTTAAAATCAGCTTGCCACAGACTTGACAGAGGAAAGACAGGCTTCCTGTTAGGATTAAGTTTTGCATTTAAACAGTTTTTTTTTCAGCCACTGGAAGGCACAGCTGTCAAAGTCACAGATCCCAGCGACACCAAATGGAAAGTTCCAGGATTTCTCATCGCTGCACCGTCTTTCCCTCAATCCATCTCACTTAGATTTAGCCGAGATAATGTGATGTGCCTTTAACCATAACTCATGCCTGAATCCAGCCGCTAAGGCACAAATTATATGTACAATAGATATAACCAAAAGTTAATGACGTATGAGAATATCAGCCAGGCTTGTGTTTATTGCAGTTAGTGAAAGAAGCATTTCTGCTTTTGACATCAGTGCATATTGCCTGCTGACAAAGCCCTAATGTGCCTGTTATCTGTCAGAAAATAATTAAAAATAAAACAAGGCGACCATTAGCTTAGCAGAGATTTTTATAACATATACTACACATTTTTATATCCATGTATCATGATTCAAATGACCAAGGCTGACATCTGATGCAACTGCAGGTAACATAAGCTGCAGGTGCTGAACTGTGAACCTGAAACAGTGGTAGCAGGTATGAAGAGTCGCCGCTCACTAAAAAATGAGAGGTTACATCTGGAAAGTTTTGCGTTCTGTTGGCAGATACACCAACTGACTCTTTTTGGACACAATGTGCACATACTCATGATACTGTTGTTATGGTGTGTATACTATTCACACTTCCAGCATGCAGTGAGTAATATTAACATTCATTTGTCCACAGCTCACTGTCCACTTCAGAAATCTTTCACATTTCTTCCGCTTCTTAGCTCTCTCTCACTCTTTTTTGTTTTTGTCTCCACTTACTGAAGGACAGGACAACTCCGCAATGCCACACTTCCCTCATCAGCTGTTTGCTAGCCTTGTCTGTGTGGTTTTTCCACTCATGCCACCTGTTGAAGATTAATTTAAATATACAGAAAAAGCTTCCATAAGAATTAAGAGGGCAAGAACCAACCAGGTGCTGCAAATCAAATGGAACTGATTAATTGAGCAGTGTGAGCACCTTTGTCAAAGCAGAAATGTTGCCAGTCAGTAAGTTCATGACAGTACAGTTAGATAAAGACTGTACATATGGCTTGTTTGTTGCCGTATCCAGGCCATGTTCTTCTCTCTAAGAAGAACATGACAGCCTGGGTTAGGTTTGCAAAAAAAAAGAACACAACACTGGAAAAGACTTCTGGAACAATGTCTTTTAGACAGACAGGACTAAAGTGGGGATGTGTGGTCATAATAAAGAATGTTATACGCATACCAACTATTAGGCACGGTGGTGGACGGGTGATGGCAGTTACCAGACCTGGGCACCTTGCAGTCATTGAGTTGACCATGAAACCTCTGAATATTAAAGTATTTTCAAGTCAAATGTGAGGCCGTGTGTCTGACAGCCAAACGGTCAAAACTGATTCATGCAAGAGGACAATGATCCCAAGCACACCAGCGGTGGGACTTTAAGAGAGCTGTGTGTAAATAAATGGATGCAAACCTCAGTGAATGGAAGCAGCGCTGTAAAAACGAGTGGGTCAAAATTGCTCCACAACAAGAAATGTATTAGTGTTTTTATAAGGCACTCATTCAGTGGAATGATGAGGTATACCTAGCTACTCATAGGTTTCCATAGAGGCCTATGAAAACCTGTATATCCACAAAACTGAACAAAAACAGTCACACAAACCAAAACAAAAAGCGACACATGGAGTTAAGCTGAACTTTAGTGTCTGGTCACAGCTTCCTGCAGTCTAATTTTTAATATTGATTTATTGTTAAAAAAAGACAATAATCTAAATTGCAGCTTTAACTTATAGGATATATCCCACACCAGGGTAAAAGTGTGAGATAGATAAGATGTTCTCCATGAGGCAACTGTGCTAAAGTCCCTCTGATGCTGGTCAAGACACTACAGTAATCACTTTAAGACACCACATATTGATGTCTTCATTTTAATAAATGTAAATAATAAATTATATGTCAAAGATGACAGGATAGGTTGGTGTAGCGTTTGTAGTTGTCAAAAACATAACTCCAATCCTCCGTGCCCATCAAAAAAAGTTTCATAGAGAAATGACCCAGAGGTGTTGTTTCCAGCCTGGAGAGAGACTTGCAAATTCAAATGTAGTTTGGATGTGTGATTCCTACTGTGGTTCAGAGCATCTCTGTGGGTGCCAGACACAGCACATTTGTATTCCTCTCAGCAAAACAAATGCAGTGATGGCTGTGGGAATTTTGGTGCTGTGTGTAACCTCGGAAAACATGAATAATGCGTCTACCGCTTTTATGAGAAGAGACGAAACAACCAGAAGCTTTATGATCGTAAACGATATTCAAATAGAAATAATAATGAATATTTTAATGAGCATTAAAAGTACACACTGATATACGGGAACACATACATACACACACAATTATTTCATCATGAATCCCGTGCTATTTCATGCTATTACAAAATCTAAATACCACGAGTTTCTTCATTCAGCCAATAAACAGATACATATTAAAAAGCCAACAGAGTGAATAAAATGAGCTCTGAGAGTTTCCCACGGAACAATTAACCTTCCCGACAGGTGGTGTGATATTACCGTATGAGCTATAGTCGCTTTGCTAACATTCACAACAATGGCAGAACATCTAAGCATCTGCACATTAGATGAGTAGTGGGGAGCAATAACAGGTTGACAGAAAGCAGAGGTGCTCACAGCCATATGGTTCCGTTTACACGAATCCCCTCAGCAGCGTGATGTCATTATACAGCAGCATCACGGAGGAAGCAGGTTCACTCTGAAAGAGTCGTGCCTGAACCTCTATTCATCGATTCTTGAA